AAAAAAAATCAGTTTCTAGTTTCTAAGTCCCTTTGTTGCTAAACTAAGAAGCTTAAGATATTTTTACTTTTCTCAGATTCCCACTCCCCACTTCTCATGTGTTATTTTTCCTTTAACTTCTTAGATTGTTAGTAAATAACTTTTCCCATGCTCATTTCTTATTTGGGAAACAAAAAAAATTGTAAAAATTTTCCCAACAATGTTTCTTATATATCACTGCTATCGTGAATAGTTTGTTTTTTCCTTGCTGAAGCACACCCATGTTGGTAAACTTTGGTGCAAACTTTGAGTGCTTGCATATCCAAAAATGTCCTTTGATTGTTATGTTAAATGCAGATTAGTTTAGCTAGATATAAAATTCTAGGTACAAAATTCTTGTTCTTCAGGCCTTTGAAGATACTGTTTCATTGTTCTTTTACACCCACTAATGCTGATAGAAGTATTATATTATTCTGCTTCTTAATCCTTTGATTTATATTTTTTTCTAGTTGCATTTGTTATTTCTCTACTTTAATATTTCAGAAATTTTACTGTTCCCTATCAAGAGATATATGTACATGTGTGTGCAGATGTTTGTTTTCCTTACTTATCCTACTTAGTAGATGATAGCCTTTTTTGCCTTATTGACTCATGTGTATTTTTAATTCTAGGAAATTCTCAGCTCCTACTTTAATTATTGCCTTTCTACCATTCTTTCTATTCTCTTCTTATGGAACTTTTTTAAGATGATGAAACTTCCAGTTGGATTCATTTGTCTCTTAACATTTCTTTTATACTTTTCATCTCTTCATTCTAAGTTCTTGGATAATTTCTCTGTTTAATGTATTTCTCTAAAACTTGTACATTGGGTTGCTTATTCAGTCCTTCTAATAAATGTTTCAACAGTTTATTTTTGTTTAAAAATATATACTTTAAAAATATTTACTATGTACAAACATGTGTATAATGTTAAAATATTTTTAAAATATGTTGGATTTTTGTAATAGTTCTTTCGTTTCATGGTTCTACTTTTCTTTATCTTTCCAAGAATAATAATTATATTTAATACTGCTTTTTTGTTTCTTCTGTGGATTCTGCAAATTTTTTTGTTGGTCTTTTTAATTTGCATTTCTCCAGTGTTCAGCTGGATTGCTGTTAGTGAGCTCATTTTTGTGTGAGACTCTCTGCCAGCTGGTCTGCATTCTCTGCTGACCCAGCTCACCCATGCTGAAGGGAGAATGTAATTGCTACAGCTGAGCTTGATAATGTTTTCAGAATATGGTATAGCAATATGGGATGATGCTGTTTGGGACCCATTTATGGCTGGTCTTCTGGATTATGTATTCTCTATTTTTTTTTTTCCTGAATGCTACTAGCACCTAGAAATAATACCCTATCCCTCTGTCCTAATGCATTGTTTCTACCTGGAAACATTACTCCTTTCTCAGCTATCTGGTCTCAAATGAGGGAAGGGGCATGAGCAGGGGTTGTCTTGCCTGGTTATTTCACTGCTATACCTCAACCCATCTGTTAGAGCCCCTTGTGCTTCTTGGCTTCTGGCTTTTAGGCATGGAGCACCCTTCATATTCCTTCCATGTTCTAGGCAGTACTCATTGTGGGCAACCTTGAATATCCTGAATTGTGCTGTCCTCTAATTCAAGAGTTAGCAAACTGTGGCCTATGGGCCAAAACTGGGCCTTGCTCTCTTTTTTGCTGTCTCCAGGCTCAGAAGGTTTTTTAAAGGGTTGTTTAAAAAATAATAAAAACAAAAAAAAAACCCAGAGGTCATTTCTCCTATATCCATGCAAGCCTATACCCAGAGACTACTGGGGACTCAGATATTCCTCTTGAGGAACTCATTGCCATGCCCTACCCCAACGTTAATGGATGTGAATTTGTGGTATCGCTCAGGTGTGTAGGGATGAGAAGAGGATGTAAACCACAACGTGGGAGTTTAAAGTTCCAGGTGAGGTAAGAGCTGACCTGTACAGGTAATGGAGGATTATGCCATGCCAAAGCGTGGGCTTGACCAGGCTGGCAGAAGGGAGCTGTTGAAAGGGTATAAGCTGAGGGGCTACATAACCAGGTCAGATTTTAGAAAAATCCTTCTGGTGGTGTTATGATGATAAATTCTCAGGAAGCAAGATAAGACTCTAGAAAACAAGAGAGTATTTCTCATTGGTTGTATGCTGTGTTCTGTGGGTAGAAAGTGGTATCTTTGGT